ACCGCACTGCCTCTCCCCCCCCCCCGCCGCTCTTCCTGGCACCAGGTACTCCCCTGGTACACCCCCTCCCCCCCCAGGGTCCTGCCCCCTCAGGTGTGTCCCAGGTAGACCCTGCCGAGCCGGTCGAGGTAGCTGTCGACTCAGGTGCTGCTAGGGGTGCTGACCCTGCGGGTGCGGGGACTGGGGGTGCTGAGACTGGGAGTGCTGAGTCTGGGGGTGCTGAGACTGGGCGTGCTGAGCCTGGGGGTGTGGCGCCTGAGGTTACTGTGTCTGGAGGTGCTAAGCCTGCGCGTGCTGCGTCTGGAGGTGCTCTAGGTATCCCGTCGCGGCGGGAGCCCCTCTCTCCACAGCGGCTTCATGAGTGGTACTCTCGGCGCGGTCGGGTAGCTGCTGGAGGTGCTGCTGGTGCTGGAGCTGCTGGAGCTGCTGGAGGTGCTGCTGGTGCTGGAACTGCTGGAGGTGCTGCTGGTGCTGGAGGTGCTACTGGAGCTACTGGAGGTGCTGGCGCTGCTGGAGGTGGTGCTGGTGCTGGAGCTGCTGGAGCTGCTGGAGGTGCTGCTGGGACTGGAGACCCTGAGGCTGAGGGTACCGGTTCTGTCTCTGCTGTTTCTGGAGGCGCTGTGCGGCCGTGGCCGTACTACGTTCCGCTTCTTCAGCAGGTTCTTGGCTCCCCGCCTCCTCCTGGTCCTCCTCCTCCTTTCCTGAGTCCACCGCCTGTCCAGTCCCAGTCGCAGTTGCAGCCGGCCTCTCCGCTGCCTGGTCCTTCTCCTTACTCTGGTCTGACTAGAGGTCTTACGGAGCGTCGTGAGCCTGAGTCTCGTCCTGTGTCGCCTGGGTCTCGTTCTGCGTCGCCTGTCCGTACTGTTCGCGCTGGTCGTGTTTCGCGTCCGCGTCTTCCTCCTGTCCCAGGCACTCACTCTATGACACTGCGTCCTTCTACTGCTCCCCAGCGTGTCCCTCTGCCCTCTCCTCCTGCGTCCTCTCTTCCTGACGGTCCGGTCCCGGAGTCTGACTCCCTTCGTGCTGCTAGTCCTACTGTCACGCGCTTTCTGGCCACTGCTGTCACTGACCCCCTGTTTGAGTCCTCTTCTGCGTCTGCTCTTGTTGCTGAGCTTGTTGACTTTGCTGTAGCCTGTCGCCTAGACTACGCCGCTAGTCTTGTTGCTGAGTCTGCGTCTATGTCTGTCTGTCCTCCGTCCGTCGGGGGTGAGTGTGCTCTTGGCACGGACGTCCTTGAGGACAGGCAGGAGGACCTTGAGTGCTTTGCCGCTGCTTCACCTCATCTCGTGTCCATGCTGCTTGCCCCTGAGGGAGACCCGGATGCACTAGACATCCCGACCCCGCGCTCTTACGCAGAGGCGATAGAGGGTCCCTACTCCTCTCAGTGGCAGGCAGCCATGGACGCAGAGATGGCTTCCTGGAAGTCCACAGGCACCTACGTAGACGAGGTTCCCCCACCTGGGGCGAACATCGTCAGTGGCATGTGGATCTTCAGGGTGAAGCGGCCGCCGGGTTCTCCGCCTGCCTTCAAGGCGCGTTACGTTGCACGTGGCTTCAGTCAGCGACAGGGAGTTGACTTCTTTCAGACCTTCACCCCTACCCCGAAGATGACCACTCTTCGGGTACTGCTGCACGTTGCTGCTCAGCGTGACTACGAGCTCCACTCGCTTGACTTCAGCACAGCCTTCCTACAGGGCAGCCTGCACGAGGAGATCTGGCTGCGCCGCCCACCTGGCTTCACTGGGTCGTTTCCTGCAGGTACCCAGTGGAGCCTCCGGCGGCCAGTCTACGGTCTCCGCCAGGCGCCCCGTGAGTGGCACGACACGCTCAGGACGACTCTTGCTGCCCTTGGTTTTGCTCCTTCCACTGCTGACCCTTCTCTGTTTCTACGCACTGACGCTACTCTGCCGCCGTTCTACGTTCTTGTGTACGTAGACGACCTTGTCTTTGCTACTGCTGACACGGAGGCACTCGCCCACGTGAAGTCCGAGCTGCAGAAGAGACACACGTGCACAGACTTGGGTGAGCTGACAAGCTATCTTGGCTTGCGGATCACTCGGGACAGAGCACAGCGCACCATTACCTTGACTCAGTCACACATGGTGCAGCAGGTCCTTCAGCGCTTCGGCTTCACGTACTCCTCGCCACAGTCCACTCCTCTGCCTACCGGTCACTCGCTCTCAGCTCCACCTTCGGACGAGTCCGTAGAGCCGAGTGGCCCGTATCCAGAGCTTGTGGGCTGCCTCATGTACCTGATGACTTGCACACGACCTGACCTCGCATACCCTCTCAGCCTTCTGGCTCGCTACGTGGCTCCCGGCAGGCACCGAAAGGTGCACTGGGATGATGCGAAGAGGGTGTTGCGATACTTGTGCAGTACATCGGGCATGGGGCTGTTAGAAAGAAGAAGTGTTGGACTAGAAAGGAAAGGGAGTACAAGTACCTAACCCTAGAATTGTGTACCCCCTAAAGGCTAACCCACTGTAGCCTACACAAATACAACATATATAATGTTTGACACACCCCCATAGGCTAAGTGGGGGAGAGCAAGCGGTCACAAGACCAGTCAAAGCAAAGCAAAGCAAGACAAGCTCAGGGTGGATCTCAAGGATACCACACAAATTCCGAGCACAAGCAAATGGTCACAAGACCAGTTCACATGCAGTTTGATAATAGAACAAGAGGTACAGTGATCACAACCTAGCAAGTGTAAGCATGCAGGTATATATATAGAGATCATAGTACAAGCAGAGTCATGAAGTGAGCAAGTGAGGGAGAGTAGGCACAAGGCCTAGAACAGTACAGAAACGCTGATGATCACAAGGCTGAAGCGCCTTGGTGAACACATCAGCAGTGTTGGCCCGAGTGGCCACGTACGAGAGACGAAGCTGACCTCTCTGCTGCAGCTCTCGCGCTAGGAAGTAGCGCAGAGCGATGTGCTTCGTTCTGTGCTCCAGTCTGTGCTCCTCACACAAGGCAATGGCTGCCTTGTTGTCGACGTACAGCACTGGAGGAGAACGAGGCCGCTCTCCGAGGTCGGTCAGCAGGTAGGTGAGCCAGCGTAGCTCCTGGGCCGCCATGGCTGTGGCGTAGATCTCAGCCTCACAACTGGAGCTGAGAACAGAAGAAGAGCATGTAGAACGCAAGGAAACAGAGCCAGAGCCAAGGCTGAAGGTGTAACCCTGAGACGACCGCTGCGTAGCCTGGTCGTCAGCCCAAGAAGCGTCTGAGTGTCCAGTGAGGACAACGTCGCGCCGTCCTCCAAGCACAAGCCCCATGCCCGACGTACTGCACAGGTAACGCAACACCCTCTTAGCGACATCCATGTGCTCCTTCCGGTGACGGCCAGGAGCGACATAGCATGCTAGGATGCTAAGAGGGTATGCAAGGTCAGGTCGAGTGCAGGTCATCAGGTACATGAGGCAGCCCACAAGCTCTGGATACGGGCCACTCGGCTCTACGAACTCATCCGAAGGCAGAGCTGAGAGCGAGTGACCGGTAGGCAGAGGAGTGGGCTGAGGCGAGGAGTACGTGAAGCCGAAGCGCTGAAGGACCTGCTGCACCATGTGTGACTGAGTCAAGGTGATGGTGCGCTGTGCTCTGTCCCGGGTGATCCGCAAGCCAAGATAGCTTGTCAGTTCACCCAGGTCTGTGCACGTGTGTCTCTTATGCAGCTCCGACTTCACGTGGGCGAGTGCCTCAGTGTCAGCAGTAGCAAAGACCAAGTCGTCGACGTACACGAGAACGTAGAACGGCGGCAGAGTGGTGTCGGTGCGTAGAAACAGCGACGGGTCAGCAGTAGAAGGAGCAAACCCAAGAGCCGCAAGCGTAGTCCTCAGTGTGTCGTGCCACTCACGGGGTGCCTGGCGGAGACCGTAGACTGGCCGCCGGAGGCTCCACTGGGTACCAGGAGGGAACGACCCAGTGAAGCCAGGTGGGCGGCGCAGCCAGATCTCCTCGTGCAGGCTGCCCTGTAGGAACGCAGTGCTGAAGTCAAGAGAGTGGAGCTCGTAGTCATGCTGAGCGGCGACGTGCAGCAGAACCCGAAGAGTGGTCATCTTCGGGGTCGGGGAGAAGGTCTGGAAGAAGTCAACTCCCTCTCGCTGACTGAAGCCTCGTGCAACGTAACGCGCCTTGAAGACAGGCGGAGAACCCGGCGGCCGCTTCACCCTGAAAATCCACATGCCACTGACGATGTTCGCCCCAAGTGGGGGAACCTCGTCGACGTAGGTGCCTGTGGATTTCCAGGAAGCCATCTCTGCGTCCATGGCTGTCTGCCACTGAGAGGAGTAGAGACCCTCCATCGCCTCTGCGTAGGAGCGTGGGGTCGGGATGTCTGGTGCATCCGGGTCTCCCTCAGGGGCAACTAGCATGGACACGAGATGAGGCAAAGCAGCGGCAAAGCACTCAAACTCCTCCTGTCTGTCCTCAAGGACGTCCGTGCCAAGAGCACACTCACCCCCGACGGACGGAGGACAGACAGACTCAGACTCAGCAACAAGGCTAGCGGCGTAGTCTAGACGACAGGCGGCAGCAAAGTCAACAAGCTCAGCGACTAGAGCAGACGCAGCAGAGGACTCGAAGGAAGGGTCAGTGACAACAGTGGCAAGGAGACGCGTGACAGTAGGACTGGCAGCACGAAGAGAGTCAGACTCTGGGTCAGCAAGAGCAGGAAGAGAGGACGCAGGAGGAGACGGCAGAGGGACACGCTATCGACTAAAAAAACTGCCAGCTCTTGGGAATTCCTTCCGTGGCCTCTCTGCCCTCAAGAAGGTACGAGGGAAATTCAGGTAGAAGCCCTTTTTTTACTGGGGCGATCGCACAAGGTACTCTTTCTTTACTGGGCCGATCAGTTGAGCTGAGGCACCCGTTGCCAACAATCACCACCCGCACAACCCGTCACACACAAGAACCCCGTCTTCTACTCTTCATGTTTTCTGACTGTCACTCTCTTGAGCTCGCTCTTTCCACCACCTCGTGTGCCTTGAGTCGACTCTACAATGTATTTCAATCTCGGTCCATCCCTTTCCTCCCCTCCCCTCCCCTCCCCTCCCCTCCCCTCCTTTCCCCTCCCCTCCCATCCCCTCCCCTCCTTTCCCCTCCCCTCCCCTCCCCTCCCCTCGTCTCTCCTCCCTCCCCTCCCCCTCCCTTTTCTTCCCCCACAACTCTTTATCCATCCACCCCTGCAGCTCTCCCTGTCCAGCAACGGCATCACATCACTCACCAACGATCTCAGCGGGTGCATGTCGCAGGAAAAGCTGCTCTGCCACCTCTTCCTCCCCTTCCCATTCCCTCCGTTATCATCCATCCATCCACCCCTCACCCACTCAGCTCTCCCTGTCCAGCAACGGCATCACATCCCTCACCAACGATCTCAGCGGGTGCATGTCGCAGGAAAAGCTGCTCTGCCACCTCTTCCTCCCCTTCCCATTCCCTCCGTTATCATCCATCCATCCATCCACCCTTCACCCACTCAGCTCTCCCTCTCCAGCAACGGCATCACATCCCTCACCAACGATCTCAGCGGGTGCATGTCGCAGGAAAAGCTGCTCTGCCACCTCTTCCTCCCCTTCCCATTCCCTCTGTTATCATCCATCCATCCATCCACCCTTCACCCACTCAGCTCTCCCTGTCCAGCAACGGCATCACATCCCTCACCAACGATCTCAGCGGGTGCATGTCGCAGGAAAAGCTGCTCTGCCACCTCTTCCTCCCCTTCCCATTCCCTCCGTTATCATCCATCCATCCACCCCTCACCCACTCAGCTCTCCCTGTCCAGCAACGGCCTCACATCACTCACAAACGACCTCAGCGGGTGCATGTCGCTGGAGGAGCTGCGTCTGGCACACAACCACATCAGGGTACGTGTGATGCCAATGAACCTTTGTGCCTGCATGCGTACTTTTCACATGCTCACATGCTGGCATGAGTCGACTAAACATTGGACGCATGCCGCTGGAGGAGCTGCGACTTGCCCACAACCACCTCTCGGTGTGTATTCATGACTTGTAACTTATCTTATATTATAGTGTTTCTTTTTTCTTTCATATGTGGAAACATATGAGAACAGGTTAGATATGTTCTCCTTCCTCTCCAACTTTCCTTCATCCGGTCCCACCCTCTCCAGGCCCTCTCCCCCCCCTCCTCCCTCCCGCCTGGATGAAATACAAATGAGTACATTTCAAAAAAAGCCAGTAACAGCAGTGCTTTCTGCCTTCCTTCCAACCAATCCCCATCTTCCTTTCTTCCCTCCCCCATTCGTTCCATCCCTCCAGGTCCTCTCCCCGGCCCTCTCCTCCCTCACCTCACCTGCCTTCGCATTCTCGATCTCTCCTCCAACTGAATTGCATCACTCAAGCTCCTTTCCCTCATGAAATCCTATCAAAGCAGTTTTAGATATTCCCTTTTTTTCTTACTTGCGGCCCCCTTCCCATCCCATCCTATTCCCCCAGGCCCTCTTTCCTGCTCCTTCCTCCCTCACCCGCGTCTGCACCCTTGACCTCTCTTCCTACCGGATTACCCCACTCAAGCTCCTCTCCCTCACCTGTGCCTTTTTCCTTCCTTCCTTCCTCCATTCGCCCCATCCCAACAGGCCCTCTCCCCGGCCCTCTCCTCCCTCACCCGACTCCGCATTCTCGATCTCTCCTCCAACCGAATCTCCTCGCTCAAGCTCCTCTCGCTCGCCACCCTCGCTGCCTTCCCCCGCCTCAACTCGCTCTCCCTCCGCGGCAACCCCCTGCTGGGGGACAATCCCTCCACGGTTGAGGCTCAGGTGAGATTAAAGCCCACAAAAGTTTTGAGAGGTTACACAACGCAGGTGAGAACCAAAGTTATACTTTTGAGGCGCCCGAAAAGGCCATCCCACTGCTCGGGGGCAATCCCACCAAGTGTATTTGTCCCTTTGATTTGAGGCGCCTCAGAAGGCCAGTCCTTTGCTTGGGGACAATGCTTCTTCAAGTCGTTTTTTTAGTGACTCTTGGCATAGCAGCAGGGCATATACTCTCTGATATATCTGGGCATATCCTCTCTGATATATCTTGGCATATCCGGGTGCTTGATTCGAGCTTCTTAGCACTTCCCTCTTCTTGTCTGCAACATTTCTCTCCGCATTTTTCTTCTTCTTACTGGTGGTTTTTACTGTCTTTTTTTGCTTTAATCCTGAATAAGTTTGCTGCTCGCTGAGAACATGTCAGAAGACAGGGGTCAAAGGTGTCAAGCATTTTTTTCTTCTTCTTTTCCTCCACCTCCTCCCACCATGCTCCATTGTTCCACGGTCCACCTCCCACCAGAATGCGTAGATCTCAGAATCTCCCCTCCTTGCAACTCTTGCCCCCCGCCCTGTTCCCACCCACACCAGATTCTCAAGCAGCTGCTTCGCTTAAGGCTGTTGGATTTGCACAAGGTGGGGAAGAGCTTTCTGGTCGATTCATTCTTTCCTTTCCTCTCTCTCCGCTCCTCTTCCTCCCTCCCCACCCGGCCCGGCCACACCAGATTGTCAAACACCTGCCTCGCTTGCGATTGCTGGATTCACGCAAGGTGGGGAAGGGAGGAGGGAGGGGCCAAGAGGCAGAGGGGGCTGGGCAGGAGGAGGATGAGGTTCTGGGTGATAGCAGTGGAGATGCTACTATGGGGGATGAGGAAGCGAAGGAAACGAAGGGAGAGGTGGGAAAAGGGAAGAAGAAGGGGCAGAAGAAGAAGCAGGGGAGTGAACAGGGGGAGGAAGAGGGGCAGAAACAGGAGGAAGGGGGAAAGGAGGGGAAGCAGGAGAGGGAGAAGACTGCAGAGGTGGTTAAGGAGAAAGGAGACAAGACTCACAGTGCTGCTGCCGGTGCTTGTGCTGTTGCTGGTGCTGCTGGTGATGCTGCAGCGGGGGCGGAGGGGAAGAGAGCGAGGAGAAACAAGGCTAGGGCGGAAGAGGAGGCGAAGGTGATGCATGGGAGTGAACTGCTGCTGCCTGTGATGGTGGACAGGAAGGGAGGGAAGAGGGAGGTGAAGGGGGGAAATGGGGGACAGGAAGGGAAAGCAAAGAAAGAAGGGAAGAAAGGAGGGGAAGGGAAATGGGAGGGTGCGAAGGGGGTGAAGAGAAAGTCAGAAGTGGTGGTGGGGAGTGGGGTGGGGAAAGTGGAGGAGGATGGTGTGTGGATGGCAGAAGGCAGGGCAGAGTTGCCAGAGATGAAGGCAGGGAATGTGAGGGTAATAGAGAAGGTGAAGGGAATGGAGAAGGTGGGGAAGAAAGGAGGCATAGCCAAGGTGTTGAAGAGTGAGTGGGCTGACGCGATAGGGGAGGGAGGGGAGTCCGCTTGGGATTGAGTGGTGCTAGCGTAGAAAAGATGAGAAGGGATTGGAGAAGGCAGGAAAGGGAAAAGGGAATGGGAGGGGAGTCCGCTTGGGATTGATTGAGGCTTGCTTGTTTTGAAACGTCTCAGAACACATTTGCCATCAGGTAAGGAAGCAGGCGGGTGTAGCTAAGGTGTTGAAGAGTGAGTGGGCTGACCGGATTGGGGAGGGAGGGGAGTCCGCTTGGGACAGTGGTCCATGGTCGTCCGTGGTCCAAACCAAAAGCAGGAATTGTGGTTAAGATGGAGGTGGTGGGGAAAAAGCAGGCATAGCGAAGGTGTGGAAGGGTGAGTGGGCTGATCAGATTAAGGCAGATTGGGGCTTGTTCGTGACATCCGTGCATGTCTAATGGATGAAAGATTTATCTTACAGGTCGAGTTCACAAGCGCCTCAGTGATTGAAGGCATAGCAAGTTTATTGTGAGAGATGTGAAGCAGGGGTTTTTTTATCAGTGTAATTTACTCTGTTTCTCTGAAAATCAGAGTGGTTTTTAGGGGGGCACTCTGTACCTGCTGGGTATTTTTTTTTAGAGTTACTTGTTCTCTGATCAGCCAGGATTTTTGTGTAAGTTCACTCTGGAGCGCCAGTGTTCCTTTCTCGAATAGTGAGTTTACTCTGAACGGGGGATACATGTACCCCCCCGACCCCCCTAGGTCCCCCTTATCCCCACGATACCGGTTTGGACCGGAGCGCAGGGGATATCAGTGTTGTTTCGCCCGTGTGTTGGCACAACCTGAGGCGCCGATTGGCCGGAATGGCATATTTCGTGCCAGCGCACTCAACTGGCCACCCAGTGGATACATCGCTGGCTTTGCGTACCCCATCAGCAATGAACAACTCCAACTTTCGGGCATGATACGGCAGCTTCCTGTGGTGCACTGAATTCGTGCACGGCGCGCACATCCACACCTGTTGCTCGGCAGGCATACGGGGTCACCACCAAACCCCATCCTGTCTGAGCCATTATGTTTCTTCCACCCAGCACTGCTCTTCAACGTTCCAGTCTAGCGAGTGTTCCGAGGGCTTCTCCAGCCACAGCCCCGCCTCCCTAACCTTTTTTTTTGCCGTCAATATCATGGATACTAGCGACGCTGAGGGAGACGCGGCTGATCCCGACGACAGGCCGACATGTATCACACCCCCTGCGACAGGGCTTCAGTTTCTCCGCGCTGTGCATGCAGATAACGCTCGCGATGAGGAGGAGCTGGGCGATGGCGGTACCGAATGGATGCGCCGTCCTGGCAAGGAAAGTGGCGGCATGGAAGATGCGTACGACGATTGGTGTCCTTCTCCGCGCCCGATGAATGACGCTGCTGAGTCCGACGGTGTTGAGGAGTGGATCGCCTCGCCGCGAAACGAGGTTGCTGCAGAGCCGGCTGAAACGGTTGCAACGCAGGTCGTCGATGCGGCCACTCCTGAGTCATCCGGTTCAGTCGCTGTGAAGAAGCGACGGTACACGCAGCAGGTTTTGCAGTGGGGAACACCGCCTCCGAAGCCCGTCGCTCCACCTCCCCGTGCTGCCCCACCCCCCATTCGTCCCCTTACAGACGAGGAGAAGAAGGAGAAGGCGTACCTGAAGGCGCAGAAGAGCTACAAGTCTGATTGGCTGCCGAAGTTTGACTGGCTGATTCTGGACAAGACGCCAGAGGGTGACCCGTGCCTGCGCTGCAGTGTCTGCATGGAGCACGGGAAGGACAACGTGCGTTACGGTCGCAATGGCGCTGGCGGTCGTGATCTGCAGATCGGGTCGATGCGGTGGCACGAGAACAGCGCGAAGCACGAGGACGCCATGAACAAGCAGGCAAACCTTCTGCAGAAGATCGTGGACCAGAAGAAGATTGAAGACTTCGCGAATGGAGATCCGGAAGGCTGTCGCGTCGCGGTACTCATGCGCGCCATGCGTTTTGTGTGCCGTACCGACACACCCATCCACATGTACCCACAGGTCGTGCAGCTTCTCGCAGAGGAGGGGGTCGCCAACATTCCGCAACAAAGCTATGGAGTGTACATCACGCAGTGAGTTGCTGTTGACTGGTTTGTATTCGAAGCAACCGTCTTTGTTGAACGAGGCTAATGCGTTGTGCTATGTGAATGCGCAGGTACGGTTTCTCCGAGATGGCCAAGGCTCTCACCGCGTATCTGACCAGGGAGCAATTGCGCGTCCTCCACGCCTCGCCCTTCATCGGCCTCATGTGCGACGAGAGTACCGATCGCGCCCGTGGCAAACACATGATTGTGTTTGTCACGTTCCTCAGGAACAGCGTGGTTGTAACCGAGTTCCTCGCGTTACTAACCGTGCAGCAATGTGATGCGGCATCGCTCATGGGCGCACTGCTCCAGCATCTCGAGACAGTGGGCGTCGACCTGAAGAATATATCCGGAATGTCCACGGACGGCGCGGCAGTGATGATCGGGGGCACGTCCGGCGTTGTCACGCGACTGCGCGTCCACGTCCCCCACCTGGTCGGCTGCCACTGCATTGCGCATCGGTACTTGTGTCGTGGCTGATAATTTTAAATGACCGGTTTTACGTTAGTCGATCTTTAAAGTAATGTAACAATCCTTTTCTGCTCACCCCACTATTGCTTGCAGCGAAGCACTTGCTGTGAAGGAGACGGCCGAAGCCGAGCAGTTCCAAGATTTCTGGATGGTAGACAAGGCCATCCGTGCAGTGGGCGAGATCGTAGGGAGATCCACGCCGTGGTACGAGCGGTTCAAAGAGCTCCAGATCGTGATCCACAGCACCAACCTCGAGCACCAGGGACTGTTCGACGTGCGCTGGCTCTCCCGTGCCGATGCGGTCAACCGGCTTGTCAAGATTTTGGGGTCGGCAATCGTGCTCTTTCTGGAGTACAAGCACAAGATCGCCTCGGTTGTGAAGACCCTGAAATTCCACTTCTGTCTGTATTTCCTGGCAGACATTTTGGGGGAGTTGAACTCCCTGAACCGTTTCTTCCAACGACGCAAGGTAAAACGTGCCCTAAAGGATTGTTGATACACGCGTTTAGTCTTGTTTAATTTTCATTTGCCCACACAGACTAACAAACCTTTTTGCGCACATGTCGGTGCGTCAGGTGGAGGTGACGCAAGTCACAGAGGAGGTCGACCGTGTGGTGTCCCTCATCGAGCACCGCTACATCGACTACGATGGTGGTTTCGGGGCGGGTCTGAGCCCCATCCTGTCTCCATTCATGGCACGTGTCAAGAAAGGGGACAAGAAGGTGAAGGTGGACGGCGTGGACGCTAGCGGCATACCCGTCAAGCACACCTTCGAGCTCAGCGAGCTGCCGGACAAGAAGCACAAGTTCGGCGGGACGCTTGCAGATTGCGTGAAGTTGGGCAAGGCCTTCGCCCGCGAGGTCGTGTACAACCTGAAGCACCGCATGCGAGATCTTCGTCGAATGGGCGGCTTGAAGCTTTTCAGGGTGGACAAGTGGCCAGCGAATCCGGACACGCGTGTGAGACGTTGTGCCACGTGGCTCCGCGAGAACTCTAAACTCTTCAACCACCAGCTGCCAGGTATGTGTATATCTTTTCGATCGTGTATGTGTGCTTTCCCTGTAATAATGCCTCTCGTCAATGTGTACCTAACATTTCCGTACATAAAAAACGCTGTGCTGCGCGTACTGTTTTGGCAGGATTCGAACTGCGGGCAGCCGAACTTGAGCTGAAAACTTTCTGCCACGTCATGAGGACGCACCACGAGGACGAGGACTTCTACCAGGCGCTGACGAACATGCTGAGGTCACGCGACTGGCGGCGAACTTACCCCAACATCATGACCCAGTGGCAGGCGTTGGCCTTCCTGCCACTCAGCACCGTCGAATGTGAGCGTGGATTTTCACGGCAGAACATCATCAAGAGCTGGCAGCGCACGGCTCTCAACGACACGCGGCTCACCGAACTCATGAGCATCCACATGCTCGATTACAACGTGGAGTGGCCAGATGTCGTGGACATCTGGCGCAAGCAGAAGAAGAGGCGGCCTACAAAATCCCCTGCACCCTTCCAACCAGCCAATGACAAGGGCGGGCCAGAGGCCAGTTCGGACGACGAACGGGAGGATGACGTGGCTTACGATGAGTGAGCTTGTGGTAGTAGGTCATTGTGTACAAAGTTTAAAAAATTCAATAATCCTGGCAATGCAACAGCAATAGCAAACAATGGGTAACCATCAGGGTTACAGATGAAAGTTACTCTGAGGTAACAGGGTTTTTAAAATGACAGCAAGTGTTATACTGACATCTAAGAGCAACGCTCGCCAGCCACTCTGGATTTAAGGGTTAGGCCAAAAACGCCTCTGGAAACAAGAGTGCTCCAAAACAAAAAAAAAGCCCTGATGTGAAGTCTGGATTGTCATGGAATGCTTGAAGGGAGCAGTTCGGCCAAGTGGTTGAAGGAAGAGCCCTTGGTTTGGCCATTCCAATTGCCTTGATTAGTGTCACCTGCTTGTTCCACCATTTGGATTGAGGATTGTTTACACCAGATGATATATTTTGTTATTTTCATTTACCAACTCAATTATGAACAAAGAGCCATCAATGCATGGAACAACAAAACAGTATAGAAACTAATTGGAAAGCGCGACCTTTGGTTTTTCTTTTTTAACATTTGGTACTTTCTTTGTACAGATGCATATGTTGTCAAACATATATGATATAGCCTGTGTAGGCTGTAGTGGGGTAGACATTATGGTGTACAACTTTTCTAGGTTTTCATACTTGTACCCATCTCCTTTCTAGTTCACATTCATTCCTCGTACAATTCTCACATGGTATAGAGTGTTGGAAACAACCGATTTAAGCGCCTCTGTCATGTCGAAACACCAAGACAAGAAGCGAAGCAGATCGTATCGAAACATCGGTGAGTCAACCCTCGGAGGTTGAACAACTGCTGGAGGTTACGCGAAAGTCAAAGGTCAGCGACCTTTGACCTGACGAAATGTACAGTGCGACAGCAAGGACATATAACTGACTCGTTGCAGAGCAGTTACCCGAGTCGGCACTGTATCGAACCGCAACAGCAAAACAGTTAAAATAGAAACCTTTTATATTCCTTGTAATCATATAAAAGCTTGTACCTTCTCTTTGTTATCATCAACTTACTTTGTTCTCACAAACCAGTACAAGGTGGTTCAACAAGTCTTTATTAAACGCTTCCGCTACTACATCATTCTACTCTTGAATTCTGTCATGTAAAGATCCTAAGGGCCTTCTCAGCCCAACATAGAGCGGGTTCCCTAGTGGGACCGATTTTTTTAGGGCCCACCACCTATTTTTTTTTTTCTGCCCTGCCCGAAGCGCGCTCCTTGCCCTGTCGCGCGCCTCGCGCCTGCCTTACCTGCGCCCCGTGCGCCTGCCCTGCTGTCGCGGCCCCTACCGTCGCGGCCCCTGCCGTCGCGGCCCCCTGCCGTCGCGGCCCCTTCTGTCGCGGCCCCTGCCGTCGCGGCCCCTGCCGTCGCGGCCCCTCCCGTCGTGGCCCCTACCGTCGCGGCCCCTGCCGTCGCGGCTCCTGCTGTCGCGGCCCCTGCCGTCGCGGCCCCTGCTGTCGCGGCCCCTGCCGTCACGCCGTCGCGGCCCCTGCCGCCCTGCCGTCGCGGCCCCTGCCGCCCTGCCGTCGCGGCCCTTGCCGCCCTGCCGTCGCGGCCCCTGCCGTCGCGGCCCCTGCCGTCGCGGCCCCTACCGTCGCGGCCCCTGCCGTCGCGGCTCCTGCTGTCGCGGCCCCTGCCGTCGCGGCCCATGCTGTCGCTGTCAGAGGTCCACTGGTGATCCCCGATTGATCCTAGGGAAGGGTTACAGGCTCGTTGTCCTGGGGGGTTGTGGGCGCACTGACTCGCTACTTAACAAGCCCTTTTATCCCAATGGTCTAGTGGTTGGGATCTGACATGGTATCAGAGCGAAGGTCTCGGGTTCGAATCCCAGTGTGTGCACTTCGGGCATCCCAGTGCGGGGGGGTGTCAGAGGTCCACTGGTGATCCCCGATTGATCCTAGGGAAGGGTTACAGGCTCGTTGTCCTGGGGGGTTGTGGGCGCACTGACTCGCTACTTAACAAGCCCTTTATCCCAATGGTCTAGTGGTTGGGATCTGACAGTCGCGGCCCCTGCCGTCACGCCGTCGCGGCCCCTGCCGCCCTGCCGTCGCGGCCCCTGCCGCCCTGCCGTCGCGGCCCCTGCCGTCGCGGCCCCTGCTGTCGCGGCCCCTGCCGTCGCGGCCCCTGCTGTCGCGGCCCATGCCGCCACGCCGTCGCGGCCCTGCCGCCCTGCTGTCGCGGCCCCTGCCGCCCTGCCGTCGCGGCCCCTGCCGCCCTGCTGTTGCGGCCCCTGCCTCCCTGCCGTCGCGGCCCTGCCGCCCAGCTGCTGCGGCCCTTCCTAAAGCCGCGGTCGCGGCCCTGCTAGTGCCGCTGTTGCGGCCCTGCCTACTGCCGCTGTCGTGGCCCTGCCTACTGCCGCTGTTACGGCCCTACCTTGGTAAGCGCACCGCCGCACCCGCGCCGCCCTTGCGAGCCGCACCACCCTGCCAGGTCACGCTGCTCTTGCTGCTACTGCTGCTGCTAGGCTACTGCTCCTGCTCCTGTTGTCATGGCTAGCCCTAATATCCTTACCTTCGATGCTGAGGGTCGAGCGGTCGATTTTGAGGTCTGGGTCGATGATCTGCAGCTTTTTCTGCAGTGTGACTCTAAGGACGGAGTCTCATTGTTCGACCACACGCCCGGCGTCGCTGTTGCCCCTGCTGCCGATGCTGACAGTACAGTTCGCTCACAGTGGACCACACGCGATGCTGCTGCTCGTCTAGCTGTCCGTAGTCACCTGCCGTCTGCTGAGCGCGCGCACTTTAGCCAGTACAAGACCACTAGGACTCTGTACGACGCTGTTGTTGCGCGCTACTCCTCCCCTGCCACTGCTGCCCTTAGCCGCCTCATGCTGCCATACCTGTTCCCTGACGTAGCTGCTTTTGCCACGGTCACTGACCTCATTACGCACCTCCGCACTAGTGACACCCGCTACCGCGCTGTGCTTCCTGCCGAGTTCTGCGCCGCGAACCCCCCCCCTATGTACATCACTCTCTGCTACCTCGTCACCCGGCTCCCTGACTCCCTTCGCTCGGTCAGGGACCACTTCCTCTCCCTTTGCCCCACCACGCTCACTGTTGACCTCCTCGAGGAGCTCCTCCTTGCAGCAGAGACGAGTATAGTCGCTGTGGGAGCCTCTCGTGGTGACCCTCATGCCCCTTTCTTTGAGGGGTGCTCCCCCGTCCCTCTTTTGCCCTCTGTTGCCTCTGCTGCTGCTGTCGGCCTCATTGGCACCAAGTCGGTCGAAGCTGCGTCTGATCCTAGTGGGAGGCGCCACAGCGGCAGGAGCAAAGGGGGCAAGGGTGCTGGAGGGGATGGCGGGGGCGGCGGTGGTGGCGGTGGAGGCGGTGGAGGGGGTGGGGGTGGAGGTGGGGGTGGTGACGGGAGTGGGGCTTCGGTAGCGGTGGTGGAGGTGGAGGCGGCGGAGGCAGCGGTAGTTGGGGTGGAGGTGGCGGCGGTGGCGGCGGAGGCGGTGGGGGTGGTGGCGGCGGTGGTGCTGGTCGGGGTGGCGCTGTGCAGCGGGGAGGCTTTGGCGGTGGCCAGCGTCAGCACCAGCAGCGCCCTCGTGAGACCCTGTCGCCCCAGCAGCTTCGTGAGTGGTACGCTGGGCGTGGGAGGTCTGGGGGTGCTGGTCCCTGCGCTTACGTTCTCCGCACAGGCGACCGCAGTGGAGAGACGTGCGGCGGCCCGCACGCCACACTCCGCTGTTTCGGCCGCCTGACTGACGCCTGGCGTACACAGTTTCCTGACGCCAATGAGATCCCTCGCTGGGGTGATCTGCTTAGGTCGGGGGTTGCTATCTTTGATCTTGATTATGATGCTATCCTTGCTGCTATGTATGTTGTGTCTATCAGTTCTGAGGGTGACTGTTACCTGTGTGTTCCGCCCGACCCGGGCATTGAGGCTGCTGCTCTAGGTGCTAGTGAGTCTGCTGCTCCAGGTGCTGATGAGGCTGCTCTCTCAGGTACCGCGTCGGCTCAGGTCTTGCACACTTTCACCCTTGACTCGGGTGCTTCCCGCTCCTTTCGTGACTGCACCAAACTCTCGCCGCTCAATCGGCCGGTGGCAGTCTCTCTGGCTGACCCCTCTGGGGGTCCGGTCCTTGCACACTCCACGGTTCTGCCGTGTCCGGCGGTTCCGTCTGGCTCTCTGTCTGGCCTCCACCTCCCCTCGTTCTCCACGAACTTGGTGAGTGGAGCTGACCTTCACGATGCGTGGGTTGACCAGTTCAATCTTGGAGGTCAGCGAGTGACCCACTGTTCGTGTACTCGGACGGGCCGGCACCTGGCCACGTTCACTCGTCAGCCTGGGTCGAGCCTTTACACCCTGACTACAGTGCCTCCTCCGGTCGCTAAGTCTGGTCAGGTCGCTGCGTCGGGTCAGGTGTCTGCTGCAGCGTCCTGGTCTGGTCCTGAGTCTGCCCCCTGCTCGTGTCGCCTCCTGTCTCACCAGACCCTCCTCTGGCACCACCGCCTTGGTCATCCCTCCCGTGTCCTTGTCACTGGTCTTCCCCGGTCTCTCCCTTCCCCTCCCCCCGGGGCCTGCCCCTACCTGCGTTCCTTGCGTCGAGGGGCGGCAGCGCGCTGCTCCTCACTCCTCCGAGTTCCCTCCGACGGAGGCTCCCCTGCAGACTCTTCACATGGACGTGTGGGGCCCCGCCCGCGTCCGTGGACAGGGTCACGAGCGCTACTTTCTGCTGGTCGTTGACGACTACTCGCGTTACACCACAGTCTTCCCCTTGCGCCGCAAGGGTGAGGTCACTGAGGTGCTGATCGACTGGATCCGCGTTGCTCGTCATCAGCTCAGCGAGAGTTTCGGCTCGGACCTTCCTGTTCTGCGTCTGCACTCTGACAGAGGTGGAGAGTTTTCCTCCGACCTTCTGCGGGCCTTCTGTCATGCGGAGGGCATCCGCCAGACGTTCACGCTTCCGGCCTCTCCACAGCAAAATGGGATTGTTGAGCGCCGCATTGGTATGGTCATGGACGTCGCTCGTACGTCCATGATCCATGCGGCTGCTC